CCCCAAAACCCCAAAACCCCAAAACCCCAAAACCCCAAAACCCCAAAACCCCTCAATCATATTAATAAATTAAACCAATCTTCACTCCATCTTCATTCCATGAAACCATCCCATAAACCTCCCCCTCAATCCCTCCCAGCAAGTGACCCTAAATCCCCTGAGGCTTCCATCCTCCAGAAGGTAAGACTCCCAAGACCTTAAGCCTGAAGAGCTTAGCAGCCCAAGTTTAGGCTTGATCTAGCTTATTGTACAGTAGGGGTAAGCTAGAAGGCTTAAAGAGGAAGTACAATTAATTTCAAAGGTTTAGAAGAACCTTAATGGGAATTCGGGCAACTTTGCAGAAATTTTGGGGTATTACTATTAGCTAGTTTAATAAAATATCGTTTTCTTACTCTTAATTTAGAAATCAGGATTTAGGAAGAAATTTCTTCATCAAGAGGAGCCCTTCAAAGAGAAATACGACAAGTATACTTCTCTCCAAATGAATGGTAAAAAATGGTGTTCAATACTCTGATTTATCTATTTAAATCTGGATCTATCAGGAAATATTTCAGCTCAGGAATTCATAATTTTTGAGACTTAGGTGAATTCCTAAAACTTATTTTAAGAATTATTTCTTGCATTAAATGGTGATATTCGAAATATAATTTGTTATAAAACCTTCTTAGACCCATCAGTGAGTGTAAACCTGAGTAAGGTCAAACCCTTGGACCGAAAAGTTTCCTCTGGAGATGCTGAGAGCAAGAAGCGAATTCGGAGAAAACTCTCCACTGAACGTAAAGGTACCCTTTTTAATAGTTTATGAAAACATGCGTTTCCCTAAAATATGATTATTATCTAGCTCTAGCACTCGACCCAGATTATGAGACTATTTCAATGATTGCAGGTAAGACTCAAGGAAATAAATATAGGCGAAAAAGTTATTTTTGAAGATGTTTCAAGGAAATAAGCGTTCACATCCGAAAGTACACTGTCCGGTCACTGCCAGAAGCAAGAAAAAAATCAAAGCTTTTAGCGTCAGCTCAAGAGAGAGACAACAGAAATGTGCAAAAATACTCAAAAATTTGGAATTTCAGCATCGCAGACCTATGAATATGGATTGCTCCAAAGACCTCATGATTGATTATTCTCATATGATCTCCCTTTTTGATCATTCAAAGCAAGGTAAGGTTCAGGGCTATGTTTAGAGAAACCTAATAACAGCCATATTTATGAATCTTCTACAAGTTTTCTAAGTACTGGCAACTCAAACCAGATAAAAGATTTTTCGATCAGGAGCAATAATCATAATTTCGAAAATTCTGAGGCTCATCTAGGTTTCAGACTGCAGACGAATATGAGCAAGGTGAAAAGTGCTGGGCCTAGTCCAGCCTCTTCTCCAAGTAGGCAAAGGTTGTTTATATATAGCTCGGCCAGGATGTAACCCGATCATGACTCCTTCAAAAGGGGTGGTATCTTCTTGTAAGCTGATCTTGGCCTCCTTTGTATTGAATTTGGGTCGCTTTTTCGTACTGTACCAAAATTCCTCTTAAAATAAAAGCAAGATTTTATGAATAAAAATTGTGTTTTTTACTCTAAATATAGTGATTGAGTTTAACACCCCCTGAAACCCAAAACCATTGAATGTTACAGAGCTAAAGAGCCCTGAGAGGCTAAATGCCATCTCTGTTCCTCGCCAAAGAAATAGATTAACAAGTGAAGTTGCTGATAAAAGATCTTCAGCCGGAAAAATAGATGCTAGGCTTAGAAACCTCAGAATTCATAACTCTACTCTCAATAAAGAGTTGATAAAGGTAATATTAAGAGTGTAATTGATTTAGAGCATCAACTTCAATAATGATCCTCTCTCTGACAGTCAAAAGGAGATAGAGAGAAGTGCTAAGCAAGCACTAAAGCTCTCTCGACTGCCAAGTAATTCTTTCAGTTTGATCTATAGACAACGATATTTTGCGAAAGCATCTTCCTAAGTTAAAATTTAAGCTACCAGAATTAAATTCTTTGCTAAGATCTTCAAAGTAAAACCTTATACTGATCCAATAGTTCTGAGATTAAGGAGAAGAATGCCAAAATGAACTTCATTAGGAAGAAACTGTCTGTGCAGAATTCTAGGTATTTTCTAGTCTGTTATGCTTTTAGTGGAATCCCTGATTGATTTCTCACCAATAAAAATCCGCTGAACTCTGCTAAGAATTCTTTATTAGAATCACCGTTCTTACCAGTCAAGGCAATGCATGAGAATAAGAATTCTGGCTACAAGAGTAGTAAATTGTATTGTTCTTTTGTATAACTTTAGCCGGTTGAACACCAGGAGGAATTCCAAGAAACTACTACTGCCAAGCGGGGATTATAACTTTTTCAAAAAAGATTCTTACATTGAAGGTATATTACTTTTCCTAAACCTTAGGCTCAACTGGAGATTATGAGAGTACAGGCAAATTCAGGCAGACAGCTTATTTCCCACAGAGTTCAGAGTAATCTTCAGGGCTAGTACCTCTCAATTAATATAGTTTATCACTTAAAAGATTTCATTTACGAGTAGACATATTTTAAGCTATTATAAATTATCTGAAACTACTCAATAGAGATGAGCAATCCGGGGTTTTGGGGTTTTGGGGTTTTGGGGTTTTGGGGTTTTGGGGTTTTGGGG